CCTCCCTTTGCTCTCCCCCCTTCCCCTTCTTTGATCGCCTTTGCGGCATCGCGACCCTCCCTGCCCCTACCCCCACCCCCCCACCCCCCTCTTCCCTAAATCGAAACCTGCCCTTTGATTCCTGGTACAATTCGGCCCACCCTACCCCCCCTGAAGAACATCCAAGGAAGCATCACACGATCGTATTCACCGTCCACCCCCTTTCACCCACCACCCCACCTCCCCATACCACCCTGTTTACAGACTCTGTAGCCCTTCTTTCCGGAGGGGTAGGGGTACCCACCATGATGACAAGTTTTGAAGGGATGGGGCGATGGGGGGTAGGGTAGGCTGTGCTAGCTTTTAGTTTCGGTGAAGCCAGGGAGTCGGGAACGTTGGAGAGGTCTGCCATCAGCAGCGGTTTCAGGCGCAATGGGGGGGTGGAAGGAGGTGAGGGCATCGCTGCATGGCAACGAGCAGGCGATGCTGGAGGCGATGCTGTCGGCTGTGAGCATCAACCCCGACCAGCCTCTCTACCCCCTCCACTTCGCCTGCGCCAACGCTGACCTCGGGCTCGTCAAGAAGCTTCTCGAGTCTCGCAGCCAACAGGTCAACCAGCAGTTCGCCGACCTCCCCAACGGCTCTCGTCCCCTCCACTGGGCCGTGTGCTCCGGTAGCAGCGCCATCGTCCAGTACCTCCTCGCAAAGCATGCAGATGTTAACCAGCCCAACAAGAACGGCTCGACGCCTCTCCACCTCGCATGCCAGGGAGGCTCCGTCGAGATAGTCACTAGGTTAGTGCAGGCAGGGGGGAAGACGAGCGTGAGAGACAAGCACAACAAGCTGCCTCTCGACTACTGGATGAAACATGGCGAGCCATCAGCAAGATCCGCTGAAGCAGCCTGGAAGAGTTTGCAGACGCTCCTGGCAGACGACTCGTCACACCAGCAGTACAAGGCAGAGAAGTTGAAGGAGACGATCTCGGATGCCTACGATCAGCTTCAGGAGGAGGCTGCTCGCTCGGTTGAGCTGCGTGACAGTCCTGACTTCCTCTCCCCTTCTTCCTCTCCTCCTCCTCCGGCACGAGACAAGACGAAGATTCACTTTCAGGTGGGGCACAGGGTCTTCTCCTCATCCAGGCACGTCTTGATGCGGCACAGGAGCTCGAAGCTCACGAGCCTGGTAGAGCAGGCAGAGACTGAAGCATGCGAGAGCCCGCGCTTGACTCCCACTGCTGGACTGCATGGCGCGTTCCCGGAGAGGGACGGAGAGCTCTTTGGCAAGATCCTCACCTTCCTCGAGAGCGGGCGGGCGCCGCACATGAGGAGTGAGAGGGAATGCAGGCAGGTGATGAGGGAAGCGAGCTTCTTCGACCTCCCTGCCCTTGTCAAGCTGTGCGAGAAGATCCTTGAGCAGTGGCACTTCCGTAAGGTCACCCCCGGCTGCTCCCTCGCCCTCGCCATCGACGAGGCAAAGGACGGCGAAACTCTCTTGCTCGCTGCTGGTCACTACAAAGAGAATCTTGTGCTAAGAAAGAGCGTCACGTTGAGAGGAGAAACGCAGCTCAGGTAGATCCTTCGCTTGCCTCTCCTCCCCCTCCGTGATTCCTAACCCCCTCTGCTCTCGAGCTCCGTCCTCCTGCACTTCATCGTTCGTTTCTGTTCTCTCCTCCCTTGCTGACTGCATCGCTCGCAAGGGATCATGCTGATTCGATGCTCGGCTCGAGAAGTCTGCATGGTGCCTACCACGGCGACCCTCTTCACCACAAGTTTGTTGTGCTGCCGGCCGACGTGCAAGGGGAAGGGAACGATGGGAATGGACTACAACGGAGGATGCGAGGAAGAGCAGAGGAGATCTGCAGTCGAGCGGAGTTCATTGGAGCACGGGAGGATGACGGGAGAGAGTTCTGCTGCCTCGGCCATGTTGTGATCAGCGCGAGAGAGCCCGACCGGCCGGTCATGGTGATCGAGGAGGGATCTGTGCTGGTGTCCGACCTCATCCTGCTGCGTGCCGACGAGGATTCGTCGAGTCTCTCTCCTCCCTCCTCTACCATCCTCGTGCAGAGCAAGGGTCTGCTCCTCATGGAAAAGTGCCTGGTGGAAAGCCAGGTCAACTCCTCCCCCTCCTCTCTTCCTCCCCCTCAGCTGCCCGCTGCCTCTCCCACCCTCTCACATGTTATGCGAGCCAACAGGGGGACGTCGCTCTTGAAGTCAGGGGGGGCGGAAGAGCCAACGTGAAAGAGGTGACAAGCTGCATCTTTGTCGCTCGTCCTGCTGACCCTCCACCTCCTCTCCCCTCTCTCAGTCTCACCTCTCCTCCGGCGTCTCTTGCCTTGGCAGCCTCACGCTTGACGACTGCAGAGTCGCGGGAGGATGCGGAGTGACGGTGGCAGGAGAAGGAGACGCGTCAGTTAGGAAGACTCGAGTGACAGGAGCGAAGGAGTTTGGCATTTACGTGAAGGTGAGGAGGAGGCGGCGGTGGGGTTGGAGGTTGACGGGAAGGAGGAGGGGGATGGGAAGGGCGTCTGGGAGGGGCTGAGATTAAGGGCCTGGCAGGACGAGGGGAGTGGAACTTTCAGTGCAAACGAAGTGTCAGGATGTGGACGATCGGGGGTGGCCATCGCAAGCAGAAGCAAAGAATGCAGCCTGAGGATCAACAAGTCGTTTGAGAACAGAGAAGCCGGTGCCTCTCATCATCGCTGCTTCTTACTCCCCTTCCATCCTCCCTTCTCCCCTCTCTTCCTCCCCCCCACCTCCTGCACCTCGTGGCGCATCTCATCTTGTCTAGGTGTGCTTGTCTTCAACGGGGCATCCCCAACCATCTCAGGGGGGCAGCTCTACAGGAACCAGGTGTCGCTTGCTGCTCCTTGGAAGCTGCTGCTAACGCAAACCCCTCGCTCCTTGCCAGCACGCGGGTCTCGTCAGCATTGCTTCCTCCCCGATCCTCTCGGCCTGTGAGGTCTGGGAGAACTTGGGGTGTGGAGTCTTGTTCGATCGAGGGAGGTGAAGCAGGAGGACGAGGCGGCGAGTCCTTGACCTTCCCAGCAGCAGCGGAATGATGAGACAGTGTGATGTGAGTAGAAACCACAAGAGCGGGATCCTTGTGAGGAACCTCTCGAGGTGAGCGAGACCTAGACTGAGGCTCTCCTTGCCCTCCTTCCCTCCCTCTTGTTGCAGAGCACGTGAAGCTTGCGCAGCACGAGCATCGAGGACTGCAACATCAGCCATGGCCTTCACTGCGGAGTCGTCGTCACTGATCGCTCATCTCCCTTACTCTCCGACTGTCACATCCTCGCCAACCGCCGCGTTGGCTTCGCAGTCGGCAAGCGATCTCGCCCCGTCGCCTCGAGGTAGGGGCTCGAGGCGGGCTCGGCTTGGAGCTTGTGACGGGCGGTGGGTCAGGTGTGTCATGGAGGAGAACAGCATCGGCCTCTGCGTGTTTGACCAGTCGGGCGGAAAGTTTGCAGATTGTCGCGTCACGAGGAACAGAGGAGTGCAGGTCCCAAGTCTTGAGCTCCCCCTCCTCTCACCTGCTCCTCCTCTCAGGTTCAGGTCACTCGCTGTCGGCTAGACGGCCCTCTCTTCACCTCCTGCCTTGTCACTGGGGGTCCGTCCTGCGGCTTCTTGATCAGAGGAGCTGAGAGTAAGCTGGAGGACTGCGAGGTGTCTTCGCAGGCTTCCTTTGGGCTCCTAGCCGAGGGCGACGCGACACGAGTCAAGTGCGACAAGTGCAGGATAAGCGACAACGGGGGGGGGGGGGTCTGCGCGCTGGACGAGGCGAAGCTCGAGCTGACTAGGAGCAGCGTCGCTGACAACAAGGAGGTGGGGGCCTGCTGCAAGGCTGCTGCCTGCCTCGAGGTCACCAGCTGCTCCTTGGAGCGAAACGTCGGGCCGGGGGTCTGGTTCGCGGGGGGGGGGACGGGGATGGTGGAGAAGAGCGAAGTGCGGGGGAGCCATGGCTTCAACGTGGTCTGCGACAGCTCCTCTGCCACCGTCAGAGAGTGTCAGGTGGTGGCCGGGAAGGAGGGAGGAGTGCTTTGCTCCGGAGGAGGAGGAGGCGTCTTCTCGCGCAACAGCATCTCAGGGAATCGTCCGGCTGGCTTCATCGTGAGCAAGGGATGTAACCCGTCCGTGTTTCACAACTCAATCGTTCGCAACGAGCCCTACGGCATCTTCGTGCTCGAGGGAGGACTAGGTCACGTGTATGCTAACGTGCTCGAGGAGAACGAAATGGCGCCTGTGCTCCTGCATGGTACTGCGAGGAGTGTGGTCGCCGACAACAACATCGCAGGAGGAGCCAACGGGGTTCTCGTTTGCTGGTCCGATGGCGAAAACAAAATCCGCAACGTTTCGTCCCTCGAGATGCAGAGAGTTGGATTCGGCCAACCAAGTATGGACATGCCGGTAAGGAGACATTTAAGGCAAGAAAGATGAGAGATGAGAGATGAGAGTTGGTGCGGAGTGATCAGGTGTGACGAGCTTGCAGACTGTGAGAGAGAGGCTGTTGGACCTCAAGGACGTCTCCATCAAGGAGATGCTCGCCTCTCTCCGAGCCCTTCAGTCCGACCAGCAGGTACCGAGTCAGCTCTCACGGGCTACACGGGTGACGACAGGCGATGGCAGAGCAGGAGGAGTTCTCAAGCTCAAGCTACTGAGGGCGCGCAAGAGTCGCTTCCTGACAGGCGCAGCCAGCCTCAGGTGTCTGAAGCCCTGGAGGACTGCATCGATGACGCTGCTCCTGCTAATGAGGTATCACGGCCCGGTGCCTCGAGGCCCGAGTGACTCACGCCTGACCTTCAACGGTCGTAGGTTTGGATGCCACATGCTGCCGCCGCAAGCGGCGGACCATCGGACCGGGCCGGGCCCCCTTATGACACGAGTCCCGACTCGGACGATGCGGCCGCGCAGAACACTAAGGAGACTTGAGTACTAAATCACCAGCATAACGTCACTGAGTGCCCAACACTGCAAAGATAACGACCATAACCGAACTCTGATTCCTCTCGTCCACCAGTCACTGTCAGTACTAGTGACTTGACTCGATGTCGGAAACTTTGAAGCCAGAAGTTCAGTTTTAACTCAACGGTTGTCTCGGTCTGCGCCGGTCCAGTCAGCACTTACACGAGGCGCCACCAGGACAATTAGCTAGCTTGACAGCTGTAACAACCCTCTCTGCAACCCTGTGCAATGCCTGGCAGCGCGAAGAAGAGAGAGGAGGAAGAAGAGGAAGAGGAAAAGAGAGAAGACAAGACAAGGGGAAGGAGAGAAGACAAGACAAGACAAGACAAGACAAGAAGAAGAGAAGAGAAGAGAGAGAAGAGAAAGGACACAAGAGAAGAGGAAGAAGGGGATGGTAGACGATGTTTGTAAGCTCGTGACGTATCGTCAGACAGGAAGGATTGAGACGCGGGGATGAAGGTCTGGCATGTTGCCCTACTAGTGTCGACGCTCTGGCTGTATGCGGAAGGCTTCACTTTCCTGTCCCCTCTCAGCCTCGGCATCTCGCGTCCTCAAAGAGGATTGAGTCGCTGCCAAAGAGCCCCGGGTGGCTCCTGGACGCGAGGAGGGAGAAGCAGACTTCACGCTTCGAGCAGAGGAGCCTTGGGAGTCTTTTCCGAGCCAGACCCTCCACCTGAGAACATCCTCAAGGCAGTAGATAGAGCAGGAGGAAGAGTTACGGTTGCCGATGTCGCAACTTCTGCTGGAGTGTCGTTGAACGAGGCCAAGAAGCAGGTGAGAACACCGAGAGTCTGCTTCTGTCCTCTCACTCTTGTCTAGCTCAACGTGCTAGCTCAACTTGCCGACGGGAACCTGGAGGTTCGCAAGGGCCCAAGGAGATTCCAAGACGTGAGCTTTATTCGCAGGTGTCCAAAGACGGCGAGCTCGTCTACGTGTTCTCGGCAGGGTTCAGAAATGAGCTGCTATCTCGCTCAGCCAAAAAGAGAATCCAACAAGGATGGGACAAGGTGCCTTGTTGCAACATGTGAGTCGCACTGAAACTACTCAGGTTGCCCCAATCTTATTCTACATGGTCAAAGTTTCGTTTGGGATTGCGCTGATCTCTTCCATTGCTCTCATCTTCACTGCCATCCTTGTGCTGCAATCATCTTCTCGAGATGATCGAGATGATCGTCGAGGTTTGTTGTGAGACGGGTGCAGACAGGAGTAACGAGGATGTAGGATACTCGTCAGGCGGAGGTTTCAGCTTCTACATGGGCCCTTCCTACTGGTGGGGACCTTCGCCCTTTGACATCTTTTACTTCAGCTCGTCTTCTCCGTACGGGGTCAACCGATACGACAACCCTTCGCAGCTTTCTTTCCTCGAGTCAGTCTTCTCGTTCCTCTTTGGTGATGGCAATCCAAACGCAAATTTCGAGCAGCGGAGGTATAAAGCCCTAGCCAACTTGATCCGAGCCAAGGGTGGAGTTGTGACAGCAGAGGAAGTGGCTGGATACCTTGATCCTCCCGCTGAGCCCGACGAGGACAAGCTGGTTGATGAATCCTTCGTCCTTCCTGCTCTCACTCAGCTGGGGGGGATGCCGGAAGTGACTGAGAGTGGCGACATCGTGTATGTGTTCGAGGATCTTCAGTTGTCAGCAGCGGCAGCAAACGACCAGGGGTGGGAGAAGCTTTCCTTGCAAGAGCTGACGAAGCTCGCGAAGAGCGAAGGCATCTCGACAAGAGGGGTCTACGAGAAGGATGACCTGCTGGCGGTCATCCGAGCAGCTCGAGAGACGAGAAGCGTAAAGAGCAATCAGGAAGGAGATCGGGTTGCGACTTATCTCGACGAGAAGCCCTTCCAGTTTAGCTTGGCGACGTCAGGGCAGGTGAGGAAGAGGGATGCGAAAGCTCTTACTGAAGGGTTGGGAAGCAACTGGCGGTCGGAGCTCTAGCGGCTGTCAATCTGTTCGGGGCTCTCTACCTAGGTGAGAGGAGAGGTCGACAACTTGAGTCAAGTTGCTGCCAGGGAACCTCTTTGCGTCGCCCTACCTTGTTGGACGAGAGCTGATCGGTCTGCTGGGATTCGTCAAGGCGATTTACCCCTTGCTGGTGCTTCCTCTAGAGCTTGAGATCTCAGTCGCTGATGCTGCGCTAGCTTGCTTACGGAGTCGCTTTCGTGGCTGTACCGGCTGCTCGATACTTGAAGCTGCAGGCAAGTATGACAGGTGGTAGATGATGTAGGAGGGGAAAGAAAGTGAAAGAGATCCATCAAGGAAAGCGCTGGGAGGAGGACAAGTGGACTAGCGCTGATGGTGATGCAGGCTGATAATCGTAAGATCGAGAAGAGAAACCGTCTTCGCGCTCTTTGGGCCTTCGCATTGCGCAAGGTTGGAGAAACATATGCTGTGGCAGAGAAAGTTTACGAGCATGGCAGGGAGGCCGAAACCTCGAGAGGAAACTGACAGAGGCGAGGAAGAGGTCACAAGGCGTGAAGTTGATAAAGGAACAAGACATCGAGTACACTACAGGAAAGAGCATCGAAGAACAAGGTGCTGATATAAGCTTGATGTTGACAAGCTTTGATGTGCGAGTGAGCAGGCCTCGACCTCAAGGCATGGGATGCCAAGTATCTCAACAAGGATGAGAAATGACGTGTCTCATCGGCAACAAGTCAGTCTCCACTACTCCTTCGCTCACTCTGTCGCTCTTATATTACAACCATGCTGGCTTCCTCTTACTCCTCTCGCTCCCAGTGCTCACTCCCTTCAGCTTAGGCTCGTCGATGTCGACTAGAGCATGCAAAGAGAACTCTCTCTTCTTTTCCAAGTCCATGAGCTGAGAGATACTCCCTTTCAACCCCCCCGGCTTCGTCGCCATTTCATCCGGCAACGCTGTCTTGCGCTCATCGTCACCTTCGTCTCCATCCCCGTGCTCTTCATCTGCTGCATTCCCCAACTCGGAGAGAGCTCTCGCTGGCTCTGCCGAGCTTTGCGGCTCTTCTTGCTGCTCCTCCTGCCTCTCGCCGGAGCTGCTCGGCTGCACGTTCAAGTCATCGACCTGCTCCGAGTCCGAAGCGAGAGCAGAGGTGTACGAATCCTTGCGCTGCGGCATCGCTCGAAGCATGTCATTCTCTACTTGCAGGAACTGCAGTCGGTCTTGAACCTCCTTGAGGGTCTGCAGGAGCTCCTCCTTCTTCTTCTTCTCCTCTTCGACGGCAAACTTGAGCCGCTCCAGGTCATCCAGCATCTCATGCAGCTCCTCTTGAGCCACGGGCTCTTCCTCCTCTGAGGTCAGGTTCTGCGCCGAATCTCGAAGCGTCTGGGCGTGAGACAGGAGGGCGAGCAGCTCGTCTTCACTCAGTTCTTTCAGATCCTCTGCGCTCTCATACTTGAACTTATGCTCCATCGCGGCTTGTTGTACAAACGTTTCTTCATGGGCCTCCAGCATGGCCTCCAGCGTATCTCTGACTGACACCCATCGAACCATCGCCTCCATTTCCCTCAACTTCATCGCTCGCCGCAGGGTCTCAGCGTCAAGGCCGAGGATGCCGACAGAGCCGACAGACATGCCGGCCTCTTCGGCGATCTCCGCGAGTTCATGCCCAGACTTCAACCCATAGGTGACCATCTTGGCGATGAGCTTCTCGTCCTCGGAAGAGTTTCCGATGAGAATCTCGCGGCAGGCTTCCTTCGAGGTGTTGGCATCTTGCATCTTGCGTTTAGTCGTCAGCAGGTTGAGCACGTTCACTTCATGGAACTCGTCTTCTTCCCTCTCCTCCCGTCGACTCTCTTTCAGCTTCTTCATTCGCCACCGTTGAATCCACCCCTTGACAAGAGCCTGCAAGATGCTCTGCGCCACTTGCTCGCTGATCGCCAGGTCCCTCTTCTTGTTGATCACGCGGAATTGCCGAGGGACGAGGTCGTGCATGTCGGACCAGTAGATGGCTTTTTCTATGAAGTCGTCGAATCGCACGTACCCTCGTTTTGTCTCACTGCGATTGCTCCTGACTTTGATCGAGTCCAATGAATCATGAAGATAGTTGAAAACCCTGATCACAAGCAGTCAAGTGAGCAAGCCTTCCATGCAGGTCACCTGGTCTTGATTCTTCTCCAAAGAGGCTGCTTGCTGACATCCTTGCGTTCGTCCTGCCATCCGTCAAGCAAAACCATCAAGACCAATGCAGTACCTGGTGTGATGTCCCCGTAGTCCTGTTTCTCAAGATATTTGAAGCTCTAAACACTGTAGTGATCATGTAAACACCCTTTCCCACCTCCATCTGTTTGTCAGCGAGTTGTCTGAGGTCTTCTCGAATCTTCAAGCATCTCAAACGCCTATGCTTGACGCTGTTGTAGCCAAGAGGATCTCCTATTACCTTCAACAAAGATCCGATCCTCTCAAGTTGTACGAAGCCTTGAACATCAGGAGACGCATAGAGGTCCATCCACACGTAAGACACTGCTTTGATGTCCTTGTCTTTCACAAGCTCTTCTTCCTTTTGAAGGCAATAGTTGAAATTGTTGAAGATGATGCCGAAGAAAAGATGGATCATAGAGTACTCACAGACCAGATTGTAGAGCATGAAGAAGACGTAAGAGAATATCGGATTTCCGCAATCAGAGTAATACTCCGTTGCACCATGATAATATACTGATATTCTTGGAGTGCAAGAAGGAAGGGACACAGTACAATCGTCCATGATGTCTTGCCATGGCGCTCCAAGTAAAATTTGTATCAAAGCAAAGAATGCATTCCCAAAGCCTGAGAAGTTCAAGCCCGGGCCCAACGTACTTCCAAAGCGAACATTACCGAGAAATTGATGTCCCAAGACCGCAAAGATGGAGGCGACAGCGACGAAGACAACCATGACATTGAAGATCTGAGCCAAACTCATCGTAAGAGTGTCGAAAAGAACCCCGACCATCCTGATTTCTGAAGCAAAGGTGCTGATGACTCTGAAGAGGCGAATTACCCTCAGCAGCTGCGTCAGCGATCGCATCCACGGCAGTAAGATGTAGAATGCGATGGTTAGAATGATCATCAAGAAATCAAACAGAGTCGCAGAGTCTTTCAAACAATACTCAAGTCCGTATCCAAGCAAGTACAGGCTGAATTCAACGCACATGAAACCAAAGAAAACATCATTCTGCACAGCAATCAAGAAGGAAAAAAGTGGAGAAGCGTTGGAATGATCGGTCGCGATGAAGAGCACATTTATGCTTATACAGCAGATCGTAAAGATTCGGAACCAGTAAGTTTGAAGGATTCTCTGCAGACTAAGTGCAAGTGGATGGGATAATGGTTTCATTCTCCTTGTTGGCCAATTGTATCGAATCAATTTCTGGATTACCCCCCACTTGAAGTCACTCTTACTTTTCCTTGCTGCCTCTGATCCCTCAAAGCCTAGGCAGATGAAAGCGATGATCAGCTGAAAGACGATGAAAGAGTTGACGGTGATAACAACCACTAGGAATGCTGAAGCCTCGACCTCGGAAAAGTTTGATACTGGTTGCAGGCCTCGCTTGTAGGCATTCTTGGCTAGTTTCCAAATGCTAGACCATTTCAACATGGAGATGCGGTACAAGGTGAGGCAGGAATGATGGAAGGAGTTGAAGTCATACGGAGGAGACGACCAGACCCTCGGAAGGGAAATAAATTCCGGAGTCAAGAAGATACCGGTACACTCAACCTGTCCCTCCCCTTTCAATCCGTCAAGGCTCGTGTCATTGCAAGCGAAGAAGAGTTGACTGAACAAAGACATTCCAAACACTGCAAAAACCTGTAAAGCAGCAAGTCAAACAAGAGACATGACTTGCCTCATGAACTCACCATGCAGTTAACAAAGATGAGGATCAGGACGTATGTGATTGGTTTAGCTGAGTGCACCAGTGCATTTAGAATGTCTCGGATCCCCTCATTCCGCCCGACGATTCGCAGAAATCGAAAGATCCTGACGATTCTGAATACCTTGGCAGTATTGCGCCCTAGGTATGCTCCCAGCCCCACAACGTCGAGAAACGATGCCACGGAGATGAGGAGATCAGCTCTGTTTGCACTCGTTTGCCAGTAAGCGGGATGATGATTCCATCGTGGAATGAACATCCCATACGCCAATATCTTACACAAGGCCTCGAAAATAAACACAATGGTGCATGAGAGATCAGCATATTGTCGAAATTGCTTTTCAAATGTTGACTGATAGATGGTCAACGAAGAACTAGAATAAAGGAGGGCGCAGCTTATGAAAATGCAAATCATCACCAATGCTTCCATCGCCATTGTGTTTGTGACAATCAGACATTGCTTGGAGAGTTTGTTGAAGAACCATTCCATGTCACGTGTGACCTTCCAATGCTGCGTCTCTAAACGTTGATGATAAAAACTCAATCTGCGCACAGATTTGGTAATCGTATCGAAATTCTTTCGTACGATTCCTGATGCATCAACATGGGAGAGGTTAGATTTTACTTTTCTTGCAGCACTGAAAAAGTGTGAATACACTTTTCGAGAGAACATTTCAAGTTTCGTACGCGTCTGAAGCCAAAATAATCCCCATTGAAGCATTGGCTGTTTTGCATTGACGTATTTAATCAACTTGTCCTTCTCAATGCAGCCAACAACTGAAATTTCTTCGAACGCTAAGTTGATGATGTCTTCTGAGATCTTGTCTTCGCTAACACCAAAATGTTTTGAAAGGTATGCGATGGCTTGTTGGTTGTTGAAGATCAGATTCTCGCTGTCGTCCTTGTCTTGATCAATCGACATGGACAGCGAGTCCAAAGAATAAAATTGAATCAAAACACTCAGAAACAAAGTGAATATGATGATTTGCCCTATGAAATAAGCAAATATGAAGAAGAGGGCAACCACCAAAGCGAACCCAACATCACATTCAGAGCTCAGTCCAGTGCAAACAAGGTACATTGAGTTGTACATCAAGTGAGTCCAGTTGTCACCAGAGATGATATGAAAGAGCAACATGAAACCATTCCCAAATGTCGAAAAGTACGGTTCTGTCGCAGTTTCAAATCCCTGAAACACGGATCGTCCTAGAGTGATATACCCAAGAAAGAACATACCAGCAAATATGCAGACATTTCCAAACAAAGGAGCACAGTGAGCCGTGGTTTTTAGAATATGCCAGATGGAAACAAGAAGAAGGAGATGTGCGAGCCTGTAAAGTCGAAAGACAGCAGCATCCCTCAGAAAGCTTGTGTCATTCGCACTTAGCCCAAGGCTTTCAGCCAGAAATGACACGGTACATATCATCGTAATCAAGAATTCATAAATGTTCTCTCCGACCTCAAAGTGTCGATGCAGGGAACCGTCACATAGAACTTGCATGGTCCAGTTGCAAAGGAAGTATATAGCGAAGGCATTCTGGACAGCAACATCTAGGGATGCAAATCCAGAGTTGAAATACTGAGGAACAAAAAAAGCTATTGAATTCGCCAAGATAGATAAAGTAAGAACAAGGTGATATCCTCGTGAGCGGAAGAACACTGACAAGAATGCTTCGAGCGTGCGCTCCTCCTTCTCTTCTGATTTCTTGGCTATTTCAATCATTTGAGCCACATTCCGATCATTCACTGGGGCTGCCACGACAGGCTCCTCATCGTCATCATCCTCTGGCTCAGAAAGCTGCTGCTCTCCTGCTGCAGCTCCGTCCTGTTGCTTCTCGGCAGCATAGGATGCTGGGAGCTCGGGGTGAATCTTGTGGGAGGTTGGAGGATGAGGTAATGGTCGGCTCTCTCGCATTTGAAGGAGGAACGTGGTCAGCGACGCGATAAAGATGTTCAATATGAACTGACGAAGAAAGACCATGACAGCCAACAAGTATACAAGGGAGATGATGGCTAGACCTGGCTCTGACTGATAGGTGGCCCACAGGATGGTTGAAGGGTCATCACGACAGAGTGTCTGAAATATCGACAGGAAGGCATCTACAAAACAGTTAGTATGAATTTTAGCCCAAAGTTCGAATCACATGGAATCATGTCATAGTTGACAAAACCAAACTGTGGGTTTCCAACGTAAAGACATGCTTGCATAGGCCCACAGTTGTTGTTGAGTCCCAACGAGGTCATTCCTTCATCTTCATATTGTTTGCACCATTGAGGGGGCCATCTGATTTGAAGCGTATCTGCCCAAACCTGAGAGTGCAATCGTCATAGACCAATGGTAGAGAGACAAGGGGAGAATTACACATCTCCGCTGAAAGGATAGACTATACAGGTTGATTCCAATTACTGCGAAGATTATGAAGGAGAAGATCAGCATGAAGCATAATATTAACGATGAAGAGATAAATTTTGTAAGTGCTTGAAAAATTACTTCCAATTCCATAAAAAATTCTAGTTTTGTCAAGGGCTTCAAAAGTCGGAACAGTCGAAAGGCACGAAATGAGAAAGAGATATCGAAGTACAGCGCAATGGTTTCGATTAGACAAGATACAGTTACAAAAAAGTCAATCTTGTTAAACGCATCGTAGCGGAAGTATGAGAATTTGCTTTCAAAGAAACCACTTGCTATTGATTTGATAGCAATCTCGAGCGAATAAAGGCCCACAAAACAGAAGCTTGTCCAGATAGGAAAAACAACTCTGCACTTAAGTTGAGTGCCTGAGCTGGTTTGACATCCAAGCACATGCTCTTGAAAATCTGGCATAAGCAACATGAAATGAAACAGTGTGACCGACATCCAGAAACATTCTGCCACATAGCTGGTAGAGATCAGAATGCATAGGCGCCGTGTGTTTGACTGAACTGTGCAGCCAAAGAGGTTCTTCTCTGGGAAATCTTGGTGCGTGAGTTTGATACAAGGCATGCACATAACCTCATGATGCTCCCTTGCGTCTCTCTCTGCCTGCTCGATCACCTTTCGTGCTCGTGTTGCAGCATCCAACGTGTCGTCGATGTTGATCACCCCCACTTTGTCGTTGTGCAGGAGCTTCTGATCCACTTCCACCAATGTCTGGTAAAATGATGAGCATAGAACAACAAGACAAGTGAAAAATCACCGCAGCAGATCGCTGAAAGAAGTCATGAACCTAGAAAGAAAGGTGAGGTCACGCATACAAGAAGCGGCAACACACCTCCACGTCTCGCGTCTCTCCTTCACTCTCTTTGATTGAGTGCAGTGACGAGGTGGCTTCATGTTGGCTTCTGAATCGATTGAGAGCCGTGAAGGCTCCCCATCGCACCATCTTTCCTTTCTCACCCCACCGTCATCCCCGCATTATCACATGCTCAACCGCTATCCCTTGCCATCCCCCGCTACCCGAGCCTACCAGGCTCAAGACTGGTATGGGTAGGGTCAGGGGTAGGGTACAATTAGGACGGGTACTTTTAGAGGACTTTTACATGGTGGGGTGGTAGAACTGTATATTGGTTAAGTGACACACTATGACCAATGGTGACCCAAAAATTTACGGCGACCTTCTTCGCCTCAACGAAGAAGGTCGCCAGAGGATGTTTCTGGGCACGGAGAGATCTCGAGCAGTGAACGTCCAGGCTATGAGGAGAGAGCAGCGTCCGGGACATCGGCCTGCTGCTTGTTGCTTGATTGCCTGACCCTTAGGCTGCTTGTCTGAGCGGCTTCGCGCTTGGGCTGGCGGTGCCGCGTCTGGGTGCCAGCAGTGCTGGTTCTTTTCGGGCTTGTGTTTTGTGTGTGATTGTGCAGCTTCACCTTCTGCCAGTAAATCCATTGCCTCCGTTGCTGCACATCATCTCCAGACCTGCAAACGCCAATCCTCCAAGCTTCCCACGGCGAGGGGAGACGCGCATGACAAGAGGAGTCACATTGCGCTGCGCAGGGGGAGGAATGAAGTGCTCATGAGTCCTGCGTACGGTCATCAGGCATAGCAGCCGGGGCAGGTGGGATCGCCGCGCAATCTGCAGCCGGTGCAGGAGCCCTCACACGACGGTAGAGGATCGCTCCAGCATTATGAACCATTCCATTGGGTTCTCGACTGGATTTGTTTGTACCAGGCTAGCCTGTTTGTACCGAGGTATAATTGAGTTTTACCGGGTTCAAGGATTTTTGTATCAGGATCCCCTTTTCCCCTCCGTACTAAGTTTGTACTGTCAATGTCAGCAATTCCCGTGGGCTGGCAGAGCTCCCTCGACTATCACCTCTACACCACCCGTATGTTTCAGAAGAGATGAAGTCAGGGTAGGTAGTCTGAATTCAGGAGTGGGCGAGAATCATAAAAGTCTTGGGCATTCTGGTAGTGGAATTGACGCTGAAAAGCAATCTCTTCGATTGCCGTTAGGATTCGAACGCGTGGTCAAACAGCACCCACCTGAGCTAGAGTCTTATACTCGAGGGGGGTGGCCGCGATGTGGGTTTGAATCGCCACGCCTTTGACCCCATTATTTCCACTCCAAACCTCCTTGTCGCGTAGGGTGGGTCACACTCTCGAGCGTTGCGAGTTTTACGGTTCGAATTTGACCAAGGTTCACCCTCTACCCCCCAGTCTCTGAATTTCAAATGGGAAAATGATGGGTAGGGGGTCCCCCCATTTGTCTCCACTCCAGCCCCCCCCTCCCTCGACGAACAAGAGATGGTGAGATTGTCCCATTGACGCGCGTAAGGACGATAATGAACAATGTGAGACTTCGAATCCAACCATGCATTGATATGCAGGAAACGAAGATACGGTTACTTGTCTATTTGTGATGACTTGGTCTCTTCTGTGAAATTCATTGTCTCTTCTGTGAAATTCAAGAAGTAGCAAGAGATTTGAACTCAACATCTCTTCCTCAACATAAAGCCAATGCAACATCTCTATCATTACCACGCTGCCTCAAATTGCACTAAAACCACTTAGATCACTTAGCTTAGGCCGAAGATGATGTCAAAGCTGAGCAAAAAATTCAAATTCTTGCACAATGACGATTCATTCAAAATGTTCAAGTGTAATTTCAGAATGGACAGAAGATGGCATAGCAACAGCCGATCTCAGCATGTATTTTGAAACTGTGATGGTAAGCAAAAACATCATACGAAATAGTGTCTACCTTGTGTTTCTCTCTGTCTCATGGTCTACGGTATCCTTCGTGGCACAAACCCATGTGGCCAGTGAGTTGCATCGGGAACACTGTAGATGTGCTGATTGGACAATGGCAGGTACATGATATGGTTGGCGATATTCAGAGTTTTAAGAAGATAATCGTTTGTATCAGATGCTTGCTTCAGACGTGTCGATATGAGATTCCTTTCTACGCTGATAATCACGGCAGTGAATCGTATCATCGTGTTACTGCGGCATTGCCGATGATGTTGATGAAGCATGTTTCATGACAACCCGTGCAAATGCTTATTCTCTCTGCAAATCCTGTCTCGCAATTGCTCCAACCATGCAATTTCAGGAAAGTGTCTTGCACACTCCGAGATAGTATTGCATGTTTGACATCTAGGCTGTGATACCAGGGATCAAGCGATATATAGAGTAGGCAGAGGCTGTATCAGTCATGCAAACTTGAATCTGCGTAACAACAGTTTCTGAAGATTGTTTATTTGTTTATTTGCCAACAAATAAAAGATTCTTCACCATGATGGTGATTACTGTGGTCCCTTGTATACAACAGCTCTGAAGCAGCACTGTCCTGGTAGTAGCGGCTCACAGAACACAAAGCACGCAAAGGACAGGAGGAACTTCGGGAGGCCGAAGTCGTGCGCCTCCGCAACGAAGAAGGTCGCCAGAGGATGCTTCTTGAGCAGTACGAGGGCTTGATGGCGGACGTGACGTTGGTCCACCCTTACATTGGTAGCTCTGCCGACCTGACCAATGACATAGGATTTACTGGCAGAAGGTAAAAAGTGCCTCAAGCAACCAAGTGGGGGGAGGTCAACCTCGACGCCCTCCATGTTGCAGCGTCTGAGAAGATTCGCAAACATCGCGCTGCATATGCCATGACTACTCCTCCTCGAGCGTTCATCCCTCTTGCCATCTCGACGGACGGTACCCTGCATCCTGACACCCTCCGCATCTGGTATCTCGCGGACATCATTGCTCAGCGCTCAATGCCTCTTGAGGAGAGATATAGGATTTACTGGCAGAAGGTAAAAAGTGCCTCAAGCAAAACAAAGCAGGAACAACCTAAGCCTCCAGGCACACAGTCCACAGCGAGAAGCTGCACAAACACACACAAAACACAAGCCCGAAAAGAACCAGCACTGCTGGCACCCAGACGCGGCACCGCCAGCCCAAGCGCGAAGCCGCGCAGACAAGCAGCCTAAGGGTCAAGCAATCAAGCAACAAGCAGCAGGAGCATGCAGGAGGAAGAAATCGGAGACATATGAACCAACTTCAGTGTA